CTGGGACCCAGAATCTTCTGCTCCAAATGGCCACACAACCACTTTCAGGGCCTTAGGCCTCTTTTCCTGGACCTATTTTCTCAAAGGCAGGTCATGGAACAGACCATGGCCAAAGGCCAAGGGACAGCTGTAGTATTTGCACACATTTTCATGGCCCTTCAAGATGTGGGACAAGGTGGAGTGGGAAGAAAGGGGGAGTAGCCCTGGAGGCCCCCTAGTTGGGCCACTTTGCTTATAGCAGTGGGCTTGGGCGTAACTCTCAGGTCATGGCGCAGATTTCTCCAGCTGAGTGAATCATGCTCATGCTAAATGTGAGATTGGGACCACTCTGGTATTTCAGTGTAAAGTAGCACACAAAATGAACAGAAAAGGTAAGGGTTAATAAGATTACTAACAAGAGGATGGATAAACTCCATGAGATATAATTTCAGTCAGTCCTCATAACAACCTTGGGGGGTTTGATTGTGCCCCTTTAAAAATTAATAAGTCTAGGTTCCGAAAAGCTGGGTTTTGCCCCTGGTCTTATAGGAGTGCAGGGAAGCATCTTTATGACTCTAAAGCCTACTCTATCTTCACCCCACATCCCCATGGATCTAACTCAACACCTTCTGGGACATGCACCTCAACTAGTTTTTAAAGAGTAACCCACAGGGACACCTGGGTGGCTAAGTTGGTCAAGCCACTGCCTTTGGCTCAGGTCATGAGCCCAGCTCCGTGAGGAGTCTGGTTCTCCCTAAGACCTTCTCCCCTCTCATTCTCTCTCTCTCTCTCAAATAAATAAATAAATAAAATCTTAAAAAAAAAAAAAAACCCATAGATGGATAGTTCCCTGCTTGTGGGTCTGGTTAGCCAGGAAGAACTGGTTCCAGAGAGTTAGTGTCACAAACACTGATGTCACTGGCTGAGAGACAGATTTGAAAGACTTACCAGGCAATGTGTAAGGACCAAGCTACCCAGAAAAAAAAGAAAAAAAGAAAGAAAGAAAAAAAAAAAAAAGGCAGCTCTCCTTAGCCTTGGCTCCAGCTGGTGGGGGAAGGGAGGGTTTGCATGCTTATTTTTAGGGGGCTGGAGGACTGGGAGTTCCAAAGAGTTTGTTACATTCTAACCTTGCAGAGCTGAGCAATTTGGGGTTGCTTTTCTTGCTGATAACACTACTTCCCTTATCTACTGTAGAACAGATCTTAATAGAAAGCTCGCCTTCAATGGTATAAGGTTAATGAATATGAAATCAAACAATAACAATCTCCTCTGGTGGATGGGATTCCTAAGGAACATACATTATATACATCTTTGAGGATGAGATACAAGGGTTACAGGGAATTATAGTCCAGTTCTCCCTACCTGAGGGTACTGAGTCCCAAAGAGACTTATTTACTTAACTAGAGTGAGGCCAGATTTCCTGTATCCTTATCCACTATTCTTCTACAACCTTAAATTCAGTTTATGGATGAGCAAGCCATTTTTGTATATATTTTTAAAATAATATTAGAGTCCAATCAAATGATATTAAAGTCTAATCAAATGTGATAGGTGTAGGTACTAGCCCTAGAGATGGGGGAGGTGGGTGTCATTTTGTGTAAGAGAAAAGGAAGTCTAAATATTAGGTTTTTAATGAAGTAGTACTCCCTGATCTTTCCATGGGCATTCCTCCAAGGCATTAGAGGTATTTTGCTATAAAAGAGCCTCCCAAACACCCCCTTGGAAAAAACAATATCAATTAACTTTTGTTCAAGGGAGAGAATTCCAATGCATACCACAGGTCAAAGTTCTCTCTTTGTTACTAGGTTTAGGGGTACCCGTAAATATTCTAAGAACAGTGTATTTTGTCTAAATCAATAAAGATGAAAGCAGATGATGTAGGAGGTGGGAATCAGAGTACAGAAAATTTTAGTATTTTCCCAATATTCCAAAAACACATATGGCTTTATTCAGTTGCAAGGTAAACAGAACATGGAATTTACCAGAAAAAAAGGCAAATAAAACTGGTGATGTCAGCTTGTCATATGCCAACTATTTAATGAATCAACAAGAATTAAAAGAGAAGTAACAGAATTAACATTCATTTGAAAAATACATTTTCTTATAAGAACTGCAAGAGAATTTGTGGCACTTTACCAACACCAAACCATGTAAGAAACTACAGCGGCACTACAATGCTTTTTAAATTCATTTGTCTAAAGAAATAAGAGATGGATCATATTTAATAAAGTTTAGATATGCTCACTTTATCTTCTTGGAATCACAATTTTATTACAATCAGATTTATTAAATGTTATCTGATTTTACTTTCATCTTAAAACATCTGCAAATAATATAATTTACCTGCGTATTTGGCATAACAATATGCTTTTCTTGATTTTAACAGAAACTAGTCCAAGTGTTAATTGAATAAAGCTGTTCAAATGTAACTTTTGGGTCATTCCTTTGAACACACCATACATGCAGTAACATCTGTCCGGCAAGTGTCAATTTTTCTTTTATTTTAAAAATCCCATCATTTAAAGAAGTTACTTACTATAAATAAAAGTCACACCCACACTCACACCCACAGCCACCCACCCATACAAACCTTTTTAAAGTAAAGCGAAAACTTAATACACTCAGGACAGGCGGGAGGGAAAAAAAAATACGGCTATGCGCATTCTGCCTGTTGCCGCAGAGTAATACGGTAAACAGCCGATTACGGTACTCGCCGGGGCTACTGCCTGTGTGACGTCAGCAAGAGCTAGCTGCAAAGTTGCTTGCCATTCTTTGCTGATGTCGGGGAGCTGAATATTTAAAGGGTGAATGTGGAGTTAGTGCTTGGCTATTTTTTTTTTTTTTCTATTTTCACTCTTTATTTTAAATTCTGCAGGTAAAGCGATAGTGAGCTGGGAGCTTAAAGACCTCTGTGGTGGAGGGGTGAGTCAGCGGGTGCAGAAGAACTAAGAATTGGTTCCTTGGTGAGACGGTCGCCTCTTCCCCCAGAGAGGCAGGGCTGCTCGTGGGACCGAACCCCGGGTCCGCACCCCGCTCCAGGTGAGTGCGCGGCGGCGCAGGACGCGGGCGTCCAGGAGGGCCGGGTGGGTGAGGGCCCAGCTCCCTCGTTTCCTGGTGAGCCGGAACCCGCACTTTACCTAAGCGCCCCCATCCCGCTTTTTTCATCCTCTGTGACACCACCATTCCCACCCCACCCTGATTCCCTTACATATTTTAGAAAGTTACCTCCTAGTTAACAAGTGTGTTTTTCAGCCCGTATTTATCGCCCCGAGGTAGAGGCAAGAGGCTTTCTGCAGTTGCTTGCTTTTAGTACCACCTGTGAGCTCCTGAACTTGTGATTTTTCTCTATAGCCTTTGCCCCTGGGGTCCCGCCTCAGGGCCCGACCCCAGCCAGAGTCCTTCGAAGGCAAGATGGGTCCCCCCACCCTTCGCATTCCTGCCTGAGTCCCTGGGGTCGGCTCGCAGTCGTGGAAACCTAAGTTTCTCACACAGACCGTGGCCCCAGCCCAGAAAACCGAAGCGCCCACTTTTCCGCCTGATTTTGAAGCCTACCCAGTCCGCAGTGATCGCCACTTGCAAAGCCCCTTCTGCAGAGGAGCGCCTGCCCTCCCCACCACTTCGCCTGCACCCCCCACCACTTCGCCTGAACCCGCGCGGCCGGTCCGGGTGTGGCTCGAGTCCTCCCGCCCGGCCGAACCTGCGGCTTGAAAAGGGCTCCTGGACCGACTCGGGTCGCGTTCAGCCCTCGGGCCCGCCATGCTGTGCTCGCGACCTGGCTCTCGATCCGGCGGGGCTGCTCCACAGACCCGCGCGCACTGCACACCCAAGTGCGAATAACTCGGGCGTGAACGTGCGCGCGGCTCTGGCTGGCCTGCGGTTCCCCGGTCCGCTGCGGTTCCCTCTCCCAGGCCGCCCCCTCCAGGTGGCCGCGAAGCAACCTGTTTAAATGGCAACCGCCAGTTTTCACCGACTCGGCTCCACGCTACACACACTCGCGCGCGCGCGCGCACACACACACACACACACGCACACACAACACCAGCCGCAGTCCCGCCTCGCGAGCTTCGCGGGGTTTTAATTTCGCTGTGCGGCCGCTCATCATTGGCCGCGGCGGCTTGGGGTTTGTTTGCTTCGGATCTCGGAGGCCGCGGGACACGCGCCAGGGCAGGTTCCCAGCGGCGGGGGCACCGCGCGCGGTCCTCTAGCGCGCCGCCTGTGCTGCGGCGGGGCACGCCGCTCCGGGACCGCAGAGCCGGCGGGGCTCCCAGCCGCCGCCCACGGTCCGTCGAGCCCGGGTTTGGCCTCGCTCCCCCGGGCGCCTGGTACACACGCCGCCCTTCTCTTTGCGCTCTTTCAGGAGAACGCAAGCAAACAACGACCCGCAGCCGCCTCGCTCTTGGCCAACATCTCAAATCCACTTCCCCCGGCCTGTGCGCGGAGAAGCTGCATTTGTAGCCCGAGTCCACCGCGGGCCAGTCACCCTGTGGGTAACTGCGGGCCGGCAGAAGCGCCCAGATGCTGGCGATCCCCGCCTTTGAGAGTCGACGGCAAACCCGTTCTTGATTGTGGTTTGCGGGGAGACTGGCGCTAGACTATTGAATTCTAAATAACGTGCAAAATGCTGAATATTCTAACCAGGACGGATCAGACAGCACGCAAAAGCCGGCCCCTGTAATTCGGCGACTGCATTTTGCAACTTGCCTCCTCGAGCTTCACGCCAAGCCTCGGGTAGGAAGGGAGCTGGGGCCGGAGGCCAGCGCCCGGGGAGGACAGGGTCCGCGCGTAGCTCAGCGCGCCCCCGGCCATGTCGCCTTTAACGTCCTGCCCCTTTGCGTGGCCTTCTGAGGGTTTGCGCGGCAGGCCGGGGTTGCTTCCCACCCGCGCGCTCTCTCTCACCCCCAGCTAACCTCAGCGGGCAGGGCTCCCCTGAGCCGAGACCTTTTGACTCTGCTCCACTGCTTCCGCCTCCGCCCTCGCCCGGGGGTGGCTCTCGAAAGCCGGACCTCGCCGGCCCCGGCTGGGACCATGGTGTTTCTCTCTGGAAATGCCTCCGACAGTTCCAACTGCACCCACCCGTCGGCACCGGTGAACATATCCAAGGCCATTCTGCTCGGAGTGATCTTGGGGGGCCTCATCATTTTCGGTGTGCTGGGCAACATCCTCGTGATCCTCTCCGTGGCCTGCCACCGGCATCTGCACTCGGTCACTCACTACTACATCGTCAACCTGGCGGTGGCCGACCTCCTACTCACCTCCACCGTGCTGCCCTTCTCAGCTATCTTCGAGATCCTGGGCTACTGGGCCTTTGGCAGGGTTTTCTGCAATATCTGGGCGGCGGTGGACGTCCTGTGCTGCACCGCGTCCATCATGGGACTCTGCATCATCTCCATCGACCGCTACATAGGTGTGAGCTACCCGCTGCGCTACCCCACCATCGTCACCCAGAAGAGGGGTCTCATGGCTCTGCTCTGTGTCTGGGCGCTCTCCCTCGTCATCTCCATCGGGCCGCTCTTCGGCTGGAGGCAGCCTGCCCCGGAGGACGAGACCATCTGCCAGATCACCGAGGAGCCCGGCTACGTGCTCTTCTCGGCGCTGGGCTCTTTCTACGTGCCGCTGACCATCATCCTGGTCATGTATTGTCGGGTGTACGTGGTGGCCAAGAGGGAAAGCAGGGGCCTCAAGTCTGGCCTCAAGACCGACAAGTCGGACTCGGAGCAGGTGACGCTCCGCATCCATCGGAAAAATGTCCCAGTAGGAGGCACCGGGGTGTCCAGCTCCAAGAGCAAGACTCACTTCTCAGTGAGGCTCCTCAAGTTTTCCCGGGAGAAGAAAGCGGCCAAAACCCTGGGCATCGTGGTGGGCTGCTTCGTCCTCTGCTGGCTGCCTTTTTTCCTAGTGATGCCCATTGGTAAGTCTTTAAACACCCTGTTAAATTGCTCCCCTCTGCTACCCCAAACTCAAAGTCAAGGACGGGCGTCGGTGGAAAGAAAAAGAATCTGCATTTCAAACAGCAAAGCCCGAGGTGGGGGTGGGGGGCAGTTTGGAAAATGCTCCCTTGTCGAAAAGTGAATTTTAGTTCCCTTTCTTCTCCCAGTCTCATTTATATGATTATGTCCTAGAGCACTTTTTCAACTAGTGTAAAGTGGCTTCCAGCAGATTAATTGGTCTCCTTAATAAGAACTTCAACTTTTCTTAATGCCTTTAAGCATGCGTTTAATTTAAATAGATCCCTCTTCTTGGGAGTCTCAGAGTCTGGGGCACACACTTAGGCAGGGGCTGTGGAATGCCACTTTCACCTCTGCTGCTTGGACTGAAAATTCTCTTGGCCTAAAAATAAGCACCATACTTATTCTGAACAAATGTGTAATTTTATTATTAGATTAGATTACTCCTAAGGGTTAGTCATAATGGTCTGCTTATGTTCTATATCTGTGTTAATTTTATTTTCTGGACTGAGTATGGAAGAAAGTGTGGCCAGCCACTGGCAAGGGGAAAAAAAGATGATTTTGTGTCCAAACGAATTTAAGCTTTAAAGAATTCAACATAATGTTTCCAATAAGTGAATACTTACCCCTTTATTTTATTAGTATTAAAACGAACAGTAGTCTTATCCAAGATCATTCTGAAAGTTGCAGATGACACTGTTTGAAAATAATACAGTAATGTTACAAATCCAATTTTTGCAAATGCCATATTAGCTATTGTCAAAACTAATTAGCACATTGTAAGTATCAGCAAGCTGATCCACTTGGACTAGTCATCTATCTCTGAGAGGCCTTCATGAGATCCCAAAATGGTTGTTTGCTATTTTTAGTTTGTGAGCTCAAATATAGACCCACGCATTGCTTGTCCACTAACTCTAGCAAAAAAAAAAAAAAAAAAAAGATAAAAATTAGTAAAAATTCGACTAGCGCAAGTTAAAGGGAAATTTAAGTGGCATGCATTCAAAGTACTTTAACTTGCAACTCTGTGTTGTAATAGCAGCTATTCGTTTCTGAGGCCAACTCAAAACTTCATTTGTCCAGGCTCTTTATTTCATTCTCCTCCTCCATTATTATTCTGAAATCCCAAGTGGGGGGAAGCGATTCTTCAAGTTCTAGAGCTTTGCTAATACCATAGCCACCAGCTGCATGTGGCTGTTTAATACGAATTAAAATTAAAGATAATTAATATTCAGTCCCTCATTCTCACTAGCCAAAGTTCAAGTGCTCAATAGCCACTCATGGCCAGTGGCTCCTGTTGGGGACAGCAGAGATATTGAACATTTTGATCATTGCAGAAATTTCTCTCTAGAGGGACTGCTTAAGAGGCCCCCCTGAATCCGCTTGCTGGCTCTCCATGGTGCCTGCCCATCATGATTGCTGACTCTGTTCCTGGAAGTACATCACAGCTTTGAGTTTATTTAAATAACACCCTGCCTGAGCCATGGTTTCCCTGCCTTTCTGCCTCCCATCTCTCTTCCCCCTGAAGTTTATTCGTGCATCTGTGTGCTCAAACGGCACTTGTTACATTGAACACTGGTTCTCGATGGGTAGTTTGAACAAGGCGACAAACTCCTTGGCAGAAAAATGTTTGCATTCTCTTAAGGGAGGTAGACAAACAAACGAATGCACCTTAAGAAGTCAAGGATTACTAAGCAGTAAAAAAAAAAAAAAAAAAAAAAAAAAGGAAGCAGGATAAGAGCATAAAGATTTGTAGGGCAATGGGGTGGGTCGTCAGAGGAGTCCTCTCGGAGGAGTGATATGGAGGAGCAAACATTGCCAAGTCCGGAAGGGCCTTTTGGGCAGAGGGACGGCAAGTCCAGAGATGGGAAGTAGCCTGACCTATTCAAGGGAGATCAAAGAGGCCAGAGTGGCTGAACTACAGAGAACGTGTGGGCAGACAAGTTCAAAAATGTGTTGTGGAGACGAGGTCAGAGCGCCGTGGATCTTTTAGGCCACGGTGGAATTTGCCTATTATTCCAATTGCATTGGGATGCCATCCCCTCAGACAGGTTTTAGCAGGGGAGTGGCTAGTTTTATATTTTTAAAGGATCATTCAGGTTGTTGGGTCGAAAGTGGGCTGTTTGGGGAACGACAGTGGAAGCAGGGAAACTGGGTGGGAGGCTGTTAGAGCGGCCAAGGGTGGAGAAGTCGCGATGCCTAGCGCTTGGGGGAAAACAGGTGGGGTGTGAGATGTGATCACATTCAGGACTTATTTCACAGGTGGAGCCGACAAGTTTGGACATAGGGTATGAGAAAAAAGAGAGGAATTAAAGATAACTTTTGGTTCTGGGGCCTAAGCACCGGGGTGAGCAATAGTGCGTCTGGCTGAAAACTAGAGAATGATGGAGTTGTTAGGGGCTGGCAGGAGTGGGAAGCACAAGTGTTTATTCTGTGTAGCCCTGCTAAGAAGTGTCTGTTCACCATCTAAGTAGAGATGCCAAGTGGCAGGCAGTTGGATGCATGAGCTCCAAGCTGAGAGGGGCAGCTGGGGCACCCTATAAACTGGGGACACAGCAACATACTTAAAGCCACAGAAGTGGACGGGTCTACAAGGGAGGACATATGGAGAGAAAGAAGAGATAAGAACAGAACCCATGGCATTCTGGTATTTGAGGGCCTGGAAGAAGAGGAGAACCAACTAGCAGAAGAAGTTGAGAAAGAGTGGGCAGGGAGGTAGGAAAACCAGGAGACTGCATTGTTCCCAAAGCCAAATGGAAATGTTTCAAGAAGGCAAAAGTATTGAGCTGTGTCACAGGCAGCTGCTCGGCCAAGTCAGAGGAGGGCTGGGAATCAACATTGGACTTGGCCATGTGGAGGAGGTCCTTGCGGATATGAGGACATGAGGACTTTGAGGATAACAGTCTCAGTAGAGTGAGGGAGACAAAAGCCTGACTTTGTGCTTCCTAGAGAGAATGAAAGATGAAGTGAGAGCAGTGAAAAGAGACAACTCTTGGGAAAGTCTTTTCTAGACAGTGGAGCAGGGAAATAGAGGAGAGCCGGAAGGATCTAGAGAGAATTTCAAAAGGTGGGGGATAGGATACCATGTGTATATTCTGACGGAACGATAGAGTAGAGTTGCTGATGGTGTAGTTGAGGGAGGAGGTGGGATTCAGTGCCCAAGTGGAGTGTTGAGAAGCGAGGGAGAAGCCGGGGTCTGTAAGCACAGAGACGAGCAGACACGTAGGAGAAGAGGTAATCAGCTCTTCAGAGTGTATTCATGCCTTTGACCTAATCAAAAGCAAGGTCATCAGCTACAGGTGAAGAAGGCATAGAACGTGACGTTGGTTTGAGGAGCAAAAGAAGATGTGAAATATTAATCTTTGAGGCGAGGGCGTAAATAGATGATGGAAATTTCATAGCGTTCCCAGAAAGTCCTACGGACATATTTGAGATTTATAGTCATAAATTGAAAGGAAGACCAGTCAAGAAGGCTGGTGTCCCTCCCCAATAGCTAAGAGGCAGAGGGTCAGGAACCACAGTAAGGGCATGAACTGGGACAGATTAGGAGTCACAGAGATTCAGAGAGTGAACCAAAGGGAACTCTCGTCTAACCATGGCCTCCCTCTTGGATCTGCTCTCCTGGGGAATTAGGAACTTTGAGGTGAGGGGTTACAGTGGCAGGAAGCCATGGTAAGACAACAGCACCCAGAATCACTGGGCCTCCTTTAAATCCCAATAATGCAGCGTGGCAGGAAGGAAATTGAAAACGTACAGTTGGCAGTCTGACCGGGCTGTTCAGTCGGAAGGAGGTCCCTGAACCTACCAGGATCTGTGGTCCAGAGTTTCTCCATGCCACCGTCTGAGCAAGAGACTATTTCTTCCAGGATGGATTGACTGTATAGTAAGTACCAGGCACTGAGTTAGAGCAAAAAGATGAATAAAGCACATTCCCAACCCTCAAGGGAGGCACAGTCTAGTTAAGGAAACAAATTAGGAACAATTACCGCAAGCCTATGAAGTGGTATTCGAAGTGCAAAAGAATATCACCGTGAACTGTGTCTGGAGGTCACTGTGGAGACTTCTAGAAGTGCCACTGTTGACTGAGCGGGGACTTGAAGCCTACACTACTTCTGCTGGGCCATCAGTGAGATGTTATTTGTTTTTAGTAACTGTTTTAAGGACATTTTTCATGCAAAATGTGAACCAAAGAATAAATATGCCATGAGATTTTCAGACACAATGGACACAAGCTCTTAAGTATGACAAGCGCTGTCTTGGGAAGCAGAGATTATCAGTCCGAGCTAGGCTGTCAGAGGACAGCGGGGTCCGAAACGAAGCCAGGCAGGGACGCGCACACGGTGTACGAAGCCGAGGAGCAAAGCGCCCACAAGTGCAGGAAGCGGCCCAGGATAGTGAGTGAGCACTCTTCCGTGGCCGAAGGCTGCTCCTCTACCCTGTTGAGAGGGCTCCCCAGCACCTCCACACTTCCCTTCTCCCCAGCTCCAACCATCAAGGCCGGGCTAGTTGTCGGACTGGACTGAGTAGCGTGATTGCCGGTAGAGATTGACTTGCCCACCCTCAAGTCTTGTTTTCTTTTTGCCTCCTCAGTGTTTGGTGAAAATGTTGAGTCAGAACCCCTTGTAAGGAGGGACGTCACCTCTGAGGCAGTTATCGGTGACTGTGGAAAAGCCAGGTTTTGATCATGGAGCTGAATAGGGAGAATAGGAAGGCAAAAGAAGGAAGGGTGAAAAATACATCTTCTGGGGAGCTCCAGCTTTCCTAGAGTGGGTATCGTCTTTGCTTGTTTCATTCCTTGGTCTAGAGCCTGCCAGTTCCAGAGTCATTGGGCCGGGTGGGAAAAGTCGAAAAGAAAGGGAAGATGGGGACAACACTTACTGAATGTATTGGTGTGTCAGAACTCTGGTTCTCTGATTTCAGGACAAAGTGGGCATTATTGCTGGACCTATTCATTGCTGTTACCTCT